TAAGCCGCCCTGAGTCCCCTTAGGGAAAAGGGCGGCCTATAAATGTCAATAAAATGACTTAAAAAAAATGACTAAAAAAATGACAGTTGTTCACCTTCTCCTTCGAATGACCTTGACCGGCGAAAGCGGGATCTAGAACAGCCCTTTGACTCTCCAAAAGGAATCTTCCTTTGCAACCCACCCTAAAATGTCTGATGCAGAACCCCTCGCCTGCAAGGTCAGAAGTCCTCAGAGGAGAGCTCAGTATCTGGCCACTCTCATGCAGAGATTCCGGGTGTCTCTCTCCACCCCCCACCCACCCTTCCTCTCTGGCTTGTGCTACCCCAGAGGGTAGGAAACGCGCATGTTTCTCGGGGTGTGAGTGAGGGAATAATCGGACAGAAGGCTTAGAGAAGAAGATCCTTCTGCCCGAGGGAGATTTGGGGAAATCCTTTTCAAAAATAAAAGCGGGGGAAGTGGTGAAGTAGCAGGCGAAGTGCCCCACTCTGTCTTCTCCCAGAAGCCTTGCCAGCGAGGCTGTCAGACGAAGAGCCAGAGCAAAGCGAGAGGAGGGGAGGGGAGAAAGAAAGCGCTTAGCAAAGCGAGAGGAGGGGAGGGGAGAAAGAAAGAGCTTAGCAACAAGCTAGCCTGTCACTTTTAATGCAGATGCCACAACCCGATATTAGGGGGGTTGGTTGGCGGAGTAGGGAGGGAGGGGAGGGCAGAATTCCTCTGGGGCACCTTTTTGGCCTTAGGGGCTCTCTGGCTGCCTGGTCGGGGGCTGGTTGCGTTCATAAAGACAGGAGAAAAGGAGGGAGGGGGAGTAGCAGAGACGTCCCGGTTTAGCGTTGCTGGGCATCTGTGGGCATTGCTGGCAAGCCCAGGTGACCCCAGGCCCCATCATCTGTAGGTCGCTTTCTGCTTCTGCTTCGGAAGGAGAGGGGAGGAAGGGCTGAGGGTGGGGGACGGAAAGCGCTCGAGGGCTAGAAAAGATCCCATTAGTGCGAGCCGGCACGCGGTTGGACTCCGCCGAGAGGCCGGGGACTTGGCGTAGAGAGCGCTTGGAACGGCGTTCCAGCCAAGGCGAGCGGGCAGGAAGCCAGGCAGCCGGCCAGGGGGGTGGGGGTGGAGGAAGGAGAGGCTGGTGTAGCTATAAGGGCGCTTCTCCATCGCCTCCGTCACGTGACATAATTAGCCCTCGAATCAATCAAGATGAATTGCGCGTCAGCCCGCGGCGGGATTGCTTCCCCTTTCTCCGGGGCGGCTCGTGCCCAAAGCCTGGCGGGCACCTAGATGGGGCTTCGGAAGATGCCAAGAAGAGCTCAGCTCCGTGGAGGCTGCTTCCGCCTACTTCCACTCCCCCCGAAGCCAGCGGCGGTGGAGGAGGAGGTGGAGAAGCAGCCATGAGTAACTTGGACAACTGCGGCGGCCACGGGACCCCCGGGGTCTACCTTCCCTCGGCCTATTACATCTCCCACTCCGATTTTTCCGGCAAGACCCCGTTTCTGTCCCAGCCGCCTCCTTCCTGTCAAATGGCTTTGTCTTACGCCTCCGCCTTGCCCGGCCAGGTGCAACCGGTGGGCGAAGTGCCCGCCGCCTTCCGCGATTACGCTGGAGGAGGTGGAAGCAGCAAGTGGGCTTACCGGAGCGCTTACAGTCCGGGTTACTACGAGGAGGTCTTCCACAGCCGGGACTTCCTGCCACCACCGACCGCCAACAGGAGCGACGCCTTCCTCAAAAGTGACGACGTTGGCCGTACCCACCCCGCACCTTTCTATGGCGCGGTAGGCAGGAACGGCGTTCTCCCGCAGGGCTTCGACCAGTTTTACGAGGCGGCCCGCGGCTGCGCCCCTTCCCCGACCCAGGCAGAAAAGGAGAGCAACAAGGACCTCAAGTCGCCGCCAGAGTCGAGGGACGCTGGCGATCCAAGCTCCCACCTTCCCAGGCCCAAGAGGAAAGCGGGGAACGAAGGCAACGCGGATTCCTCCTCGGGGGAGGCCCGCACTCCCAAAAGCCAGAGCTCAGGTAAGGTGGAGGGTAGCTCGGCCCTCGGCTTCCTCCTTGCTCAATAGCGGGGATCCCAGGTCGAGAAAGTTGGATGGAAAGACAGAGCGAGAGAGAGAAATAGAGAGAGAGACAGAGGGGAAAGAGGGAGAGAGACAGACAAGAGAGTGAGAGAGAGAAAGAGAGACAGAGAGACACACAGAGAAACAGAGACAGAGAGGGAGAGAGAGAAGAGGCGGACTACAATCCATCAGTCCCTCAAGTCTCAACTTTTCCAGGTTCCATTCTATAAGCACTTTAACTAGCACTCTTTACATCTTCTCCGGTCATAAAACCTGTTTGGGCTTCGATTCTTTTCTCCCTTTTTTGGAGGAGAACTTGGAAAGAGATTGGAAGGAAGATGTGTGCGAAGCCTATTAAAAGCACTCAACCCAACAAAGGAAGTCAGTCAAATGGGAGGGGGGGTTGCCCGATAGGGTAAAAGGGGGCTGCTGAAGAGAGGAAAGAGTTAAGAAACGGTGTTCCTTTCACCCCCTCCAAATCGCTTTCCATTCAGAAAAAGCAGGAGCCCAAAGGTCCTCACCTGGGACCAATTCCCATTGAGTTCAGTGGGACTTCAGCCTTAGAAAGCAACATAATAAGAGTGGGAACTAGGAGGACTTTTCTTTCTCCTTTGCCTTTCCTTCTTTCCTTTCCAAGGCACTTCGCCCCAATTATGGGCAGCACTTCTGGATTGGGGTGGTGGTGGAGAAAGGAGTCAGTTTCCCAGGGAATAATAGTCGGTCTAGCTGTCCATGAAGATTTTGGAATGAGGCCTCTCCTGTCACTGCCATTCCTCCCCTCTCCTTCTTTTTCTGACCATTTTCAGCACTCCCCCAGAGATCCCGGAAAAAGAGATGTCCTTATACCAAGTACCAGATTAGAGTCCTGGAACGGGAATTTTTCTTCAACGTGTACATCAACAAAGAGAAAAGACTCCAGTTGTCCAGAATGTTGAATCTCACAGATCGACAAGTCAAAATTTGGTTCCAAAACCGAAGGATGAAAGAAAAGAAACTCAACCGAGACCGTATGCAATATTTCACAGGAAACCCCTTATTTTGAGAGGAGAAGCGGGGAGAGTGGGGGAGGAAGGACAGATCTCCCCTTTATTATCCAACCAGACTTATGAGCACACAAAACCTAGAGGTTAACATGATATCCACCCTAAGAAGCTCTTTTTTTAATTATTATTATTTTGGTTTGTGGTATTTCTTTGTCTCCTGGTGATCTCACGGGATTGATAGAGCAAAACCCCTCCTATAAGCAACTGGGGTAAACCTAACACTCCATCCCAATGCTGTAGTGTTGTCTTACTTCTTTAACAAACTCCAAATCACTCCCAACGTTCATTTATTTTATTTTCTCCCTGGCTTTTCGTGGCTGCAATCGGAGACTTTGTGTGATTCTGACAGTTTTAAAACCAGGCATCCTTTAAGCCTCCTCGGTTATTCTCCCCCTCCCCCCGCTTTTGGGCTTTGAGACAGGAATGCATTTTGTCCGTTTGCACCATATATCATGGGTAAAGGAGATAATGTGCATTGGATCCATAACCTCATGCTGGTTAGAGAGGATTGGGAACTCCGTTTTCATATCAAGGCACTAGACACTGCCGCCTTCTTTTGTGCCTCCCATGATTTGCTAGTAAAGCTGAAACTGTATTTTCCACTTCCATCATCTGCTAAATTACCCATTGCTGAAGAAGCACCGCTGTGTCCTTTCTGAGCCCACATGTAACTGAATCCCAGTGCATCTAGTCCCAGGATCTTATATTTTAAGGGGGGGAAATCCAGACAGGGGAATGTTTTCCACACTGAGGGCTGAATTAGCCGTACGTGTGCAAAATCCATTCTACTGTTATCACTAAACATTGCAAGTATTTTATCCCAGGAGCCTAAATGGGCTCATAAAAATAAACCCTGATTAGACTTCAGTTGTAAAGTCATAAGATGAAATTTCACCGTGTTGTAAGGTTTGGAGACCCTCAACTGTAGTCTAAGAGTGCAATCCACTCTTAGAAACTCCCAGCTCCAAAACTTGAACTTATTCATGGGGGGTCGGAGGAACTGCACTAAAGAGAACAATTTTTAAAGGCATTCTTCCATATTATTGGCATGCAAAGACAAACTAATAAAAGGGTTGGGGAACTCTCTGTTTTGCTACTAAATAGCTAACCTTTATTCTCTCTCTCTCTCCCTCTCTCCCTCTCTCTCTCTCTCTCTCTCTCTCTCTCTCTCTCTCTCTCTCTCTCTCTCTCTCT